CCTGCCTCCAAATACCATTAACAGATGACTCCAGGGGCTGTTTCTAACACGGGAACTTTTCGGGAACACCTTCAACCCCTGGCACGGGCAGCCACGGTGGAGTGAGGGGCAGCAAAGATGGGCAGCTCAGGGATTCTCACAGTCACAACCGAGAGGCATGGCGGCAGATCCAGGCAAGGCAGCCATGAGCATGGCCAACTGAGTCCATGAAAGAGACTTGTTTCACAAAAGAGCTGGCTCCTGGGCAGGGGAGTGGCCCCGAGGTAAAGAGCTTCCCTAGCATGGCTGAGGTCCTGGGTTTGATCCCTAATTTGCTTTCTTTCTTTCTTCTCTCTCTCTCTTTTGGGTTTCTGTTGTTTTTTTGTTTGTTGGTTGTATTTTGTTTTTTGAGACAGGGTCTCACTATGTAGTGAGACTGACCAGGAACTCACTATGTAGCCCAGGCTGGTCTCGAACTCACAGTGATCCTCCTGCCTCAGCCTCCCAAGTGCTGGGATTACAGGCGTGCACCACCACACTTGGCTTCTCTTTTGTTTGAGACAGGGTCTCACTCTGTAATTCAGGTTGGCCTTGAACTCACTATGTAACCCACCCAATCCCAAGTGCTAGGATTACAGACACGCACCATCATGCCCAGTGCGTGATTCCTGGTGTGTGTGTGTTTTAAGTAGTACATGTTTTGTTTTGGTGAGGGATTACTATGTACCAGGAACTCTTATTTATTTATGAGACAAGGTCCTACTAAGTAGCCCCAGATGGCCTCAAATTTACCATCCTCCTTGAATTTGCAATCTTCCTGCCTCAGTCTCCTGAGTTATTTATTTATTTTGGTGCTGAGGTTCACAACTAGGGTCTTACATGTGCTAGGCACACACCCATCCACTAAGCTACCCCCCCCAGGCACTCTTTACTTGTTCATTATAAAGTCTTATGAAGGGGCCGGGGATCTAGCTCAGTGGTTCTGCTGCCTGCTTCACAGGTAGTAAGAACCTGAGTTCGATCCCCAGTACAAAAAAAGAAGTCTTATGAGATCATTGCTATTATTTTTTTATTTTCATTTTTATTAGTACATGTTCACAGTACACAGTGCAATGTTTTTTGTTTGTTTGTTTATGTTTTTGAGACAGGGTCTCACTATGTAGTTTAGACTGACCTGGAACTCACTATATAGCCCAGGCTGGTCTCGAACTCACAGCAATCCTCCTGCCTCAGCCTCCCAAGTGCTGGGATTATAGGTGTGTGCCACCACGCCTGGCTGCAATGTTATTTTTATCATTACTATATTACTGGTAAGAGACTGAAATGCAGATCACACAGCTGAGATCTAAACTCACTTTTAATCACTGTGCGCTTCTGGCCTCTAAGTTAGAGCCCTGTACTGTAGTCCACATCCAGGCCACTTGGGTTTCCCCTCCCCGGCAGCTCCAGCTGAGCTAAGGAAGAGCTGAAGGCAGAGGAAAGCGGATGCCCCTGCCTGATGGTCTCATATGTGTCCAGGACTGTGCTAGATCTCCCTACCTCACTACTTTGCTAGAACAGCAAACCTATTACAATTCAGCTGAGCAGGGCATATGTCTAATCCTAGCACTCTGGGTGGCTGAGGCAGGAGGATCACAAGTTCAAGCTCAGCATGGACAACTTAGTGACTTAGCAAGACCCTGTCTCAAAATGAAAAACAAAGAAAGAGCTAGAGACATAGCTCAATGTGAAAGCCCTGGGTTCAATCCCTGGTACCAGAAAAAGAAATCAAACAAACATTACTACAACCCCTACGCTGCAGAAGAAGGGTGTCACAGGGCCCTCCTCCCTCAGTTGTCACTATGGTGCCAAGGACAGGGGCTCAGGAGTGGCCCTGGAGGGGTGGTCTCCGAGTCCACAGGAATAGCATGACATCCAGTGACTCAGTGGGCATCCATCCCATCACTGTTTATGGGGCACCTCTCATGTGCCAGACAAACAGCAAGGAACATGAAAGCCAAGCCCCGGCCTTGGGAAAGAGACGTGAGAACCGGCCATGTTATGGCATGAAATGAAAATTGTTTCTGTCTCTGTTCAAAAATTAAGTTTTGGGGGGAATGGAATAAAATAAAATTTATTTTAAAAAATCAAGTTGTTAAGTTATCCCCAAGCCATTTCCAGCTTCAGATAAGAAATAATTAAGCTACTTATTGAAAATTTACTATGTGCCAGACACCAGTCTCCTCTATAAGCTCCCTAGCACTATAGTATGATAGTTACAAGAAAATAATGTCCCAGCCAACACAAAAGTAGCAGAAGGGAGGAAGCATTTATTTTTCTTCTTTTTTTTAGTACTAGGGACTGAACCCAGGGCTTTTAGACTGAACTACATCCACAGCCTATTTTGTTTATTTACTCTTTGGTGGTTTTTTTGGGTTTTTTTTTTTTTGAGGGGGAGGGGACAGGGTCTCATCTGGATATGCAGTTAGTTCAGGCTGACCTTGAACATACTAGTAGCTGAGGCTGGTCTTGAACTTGCGGTGATCTTTCTGCCTCAGCCTTGCCAGTGCTGGGATTATAGGCTTGCGCCACCATGCCCAGTATATTTTATTTATTTATTTGGTACTCTGGATTGAAGTCAGGTCCTTGAGCTCATCAGGCAGGTGCGGTGCCACTGAGCTAAATTCCTGGCCCTTATTTTATTTTTTTAGGCCAGTTTTTACTAAGACACTAAATTGCCTCAGCCTAGTTTGGAATTTGGGATCCTCTTGCCTTGGCCTCCCAAAGTACTGGGATTACATTTGACTTGGGAGGGAGTAATTAAATCTATCTAGATGAGGAAGAGAGGAACTGAGGAAAGTTTGTCCCATAAGATGATACCTGACCTGGGTTTTGAGGGATGAATAGGAGCTTCTAGGCAATCCAGGAATAGGAGACACTTTAGGAGAAAAGGGACAGTACATGAACAGCCACGGAGACACGAAAGTGTGTGGCTGTTTAGGGTTCATGTTGGTACAGAAGTGGCAGGAACCGGTGTGTCATGATTAGCAATAGCCAGATGTGATCCAGCTAAGGAACCTGGATTCTATCTAATTGCATTTATTAGCCTTGCATAAAAGGAGAGCATCAAGCCTCATCTTCAGTGCCTGCATTCCAGTGGGAGATGAAAGCAGGAAAAAAAGGGGTATGACTGCCAAACCTGGAAAAGAGAAAATTGTTCCTCTGTTTCCTAAATCACTGCTATTTTTATTCTTACACTGATGGGGAAAGTCAGAGCACAGTGAAGATGCTTGAGCCTCTCCCTGGGTGTCTGGCCGGCAGGCAGGCTGGCTTCCACCCCTGCCACTAGGCAGTGTGGAAGTCGGAGCCCGGGGTTTTCCCAAGGCAGCAGGCTCAGCAGGATACTGAAATGGCCTCAGACTCGACCAGTGCCAGGGGAAGGCCGGGGTGGCAGGCTATGGGTTCCAGATTGGAGATGCGGGTGTGTGGGTGACGGTGTGGAGGCCCACGGCCTAGAGAACCTAGAGGCCTGCGGCAGGTACCAGAGACCTTTCCTGGGCCTTGGGTGGCTGTGGCCTGTGTGAGAGGGTCCTGCCTATAAAGCCCCCAGGCTCAGTGCTGCTCCCTGGAAGGTGTTGAGCGATTTGCCAGACAAAGGAGAGATCCCTGCTATGGTTCCTTTCCCACGTGTAGGGACTTTTCATACTCAGAGCCTGATTCCATGTCCAGAGCTGTGCCTAACACTTGGCACAGAGCGAGTGCTCAGTACACACTGCTGTTTTCATCTGCTAGATACCCTGATAACCATTATTTAACCCCCGACTTGCTCTAGAAATAGAAATTAATAGTGTTTAATAGTCGAGGAAACTGAGGCATAGCAGCTCCAGGACACACAGTGCTTTCGAGGCCAGCCCTGGCTATATGGCGAGTTCAAGGCCAGCCTGAACTACATAGTGAGACCCTGTCTCAAACAAACAAAAAAATTAAATATAATAAATAGATTTGCATTTACTAAACCAATGAGCATGAAAAGATGCTTAGTGTCACTAATGATTAGGGGAAATGGAAAGAAAAACCACAAGATACCACTTTACAATCATTAAAATGGCTACCATAGGAGCTAGGCATAGTGGTTCCTATGTAACATCACAGTGTCTGTAGTCCCAGCTATTGAGGAAGCTGAGGCAAATTTGAGACTAATGTGGACAACCTGGTGAGGACTCGTCTTATCTTTCTTTTTTTGCTTTGTTTTGTTTTTTTTGAGACAGGGTCTCACTATGTAGTTGAGACTGACCTGGAAGTCACTATGTAGCCCAGGCTGGTCTTGAACTCAGATCCTCCTGCCTCAGCCTCCTGAGTGCTGGGATTACAGGTGTGCCTCACCACGCCCAGCGACGTAAGAATTTGTCTTTTTTTTTTTTTTTTTTTTTTTTTTATTTTTTTTTTAAAAAAAAAAAAGGCTGGGGATTTAGCTCAGTGGTTCTGCTGCCTGCCTTGCAAGCGCAAGGACCCAAGTTCGATCTGTGCTAACCCCCCCAAATATATATAAAAGGGGGCCAGGGATTTAGCTCAGGGGTGCCACGTTGCCTTGCAAGCACAAGATCCTCAATTAATTAATTAATTAATTATTTTAAAAAAGGTGGGTATGTAGCTCAGTGGAGTGCTTGCCTTAAAAACACTAGGAGGTCCTCTTCCCAGTAATAATGCATACACAGATGCACACACACAGGCTGTAACAATTTTCTTTCGATTGCTCTTTATTTTTTTATTTTCCATTAGTACACGTTTTCAGTACGGAATGAGCACATCCCTCGTGAGGAGGTGGTGTACACAACACATCTTAATTCTTTCTCACCCCCATCTCTTGCTTCCCTTCTCTTTTGCAAAAAATCTCCCTATTTCCAATTATCTTTGTTTTTTTTTGCTCTGTTTATATTTTGGGTTTCTCAAAAACGTGGACTGTTGGGGCTGGGGATTTAGCTCAGTGGGGCCCTACCTGCCTTGAAAGCACAAGGTCCTGAGTTCAATCCCCAATACCAGGAAAGAAAAAGGACGGCTTCATGAATGTGCATGTCAGCCTTGCCCACGGGGCCATGGAAATCTTTTCTGTATCATTCCAATTATAGTATATGGTACTGCTGAAAAGAGCACATAAAAAAATTTTTTTTAAAGAAAAGAATGCCAAGGGGCTGGGGATTTAGCTCAGTGGTTCCACCGCCTGCCTGCAAGCATAAGATCCCAAATTTAATCCCCAGTACCAAAAAAAAAAAAAAAAAAAAAAAAAAAAAAAAAAAA